CTGGCTGCATCACTGGATGGGCTTCTACACCTGGGAAAATTCAGGTTATAAACTGTAACCTGAGGCTGTGACTCCAAGATGTCAACAACTGGTGAGCTTTGCCAAGTCAGGGGAAAACCCGGTCAGGCTCATAATTTCACATTACCAAGACTTTATCAAACAATATATGGAAGTCTTCATTGAATTTCTGCTTTTGTTTTGCTTGCTTTTAAATCTAAACCACTGCGTATGAGAATTATCCCTGGTGTTGTTATTGTTTTTGTTTTTGTTTTTGTTTTTAAGTTCCTATGTCTGGGCTCTGCCGCAGTCTGACTAAATCTGAATCTCTGGAAATGGAGTCTGGGCATTGGTAGCTTTTAAAAGACTCGAGGTGAGTCTGATGTGACGCTCACGTTGAGGATCGTTAATCTCTACCCGTCTCCTAAAACTGCCGACTAGCAGTGTGTTTAACTCCAGATGACTATCATCTTGAGTTCTTTTAACTTGTTCAAGGATGTTCTCACCTCTGTTCTCATTGTACCTTCACAACTCTGAGTTTGGCAGCTTGGACACTATCGTCAGCATTGGACAGATGAGAAAACGAGGCATTAAAAATGTTAACTGGGGCTTCCCTGGTGGCGCAGTGGTTGAGAGTCCGCCTGCCGATGCAGGGGACACGGGTTCGTGCCCCGGTCCGGGAAGATCCCACATGCCGAGGAGCGGCTGGGCCCGTGAGCCATGGCCGCTGAGCCTGCGCGTCGGGAGCCTGCGCTCCGCAATGCAGGAGACCACAACAGTGAGAGGCCCGCGTACCGCAAAAAAAAAAAAAAAAAAAGTTAACTGAGTTGCCCCAGTGGACCCAGCTAGTTATTGGCAAAGACACACTGTAGGCAGGGTTCCTTGATTGCAACATGGCTGCTTGCAAAGTTTCCCCAAACCATGGTGCTTCCCTATCACTGAATTCCTTTATGCTTAGTAGTAACCTTAACACACAGGAGGTGAGTAGAAAAACCAATGAATAAAATACGATCAACTTCCAGAAATAAGTGTAACAATGTTTTTTTTTCTTATCATACTTAACCCTTCCCTTATTTTATTTATTTTTTATTATTTATTTATTTTTAACATCTTTATTGGAGTATAATTGTTTTACAGTGTTGTGTTAGTTTTTCCAGCTATACATATACATATATCCCCATATCCCCTCCCTCTTGTGTCTCCGTCCCACCCTCCCTATCCCACCCCTCTAGGTGGTCACAAAGCGCCGAGCTGATCTCCCTGTGCTATGCGGCTGCTTCCCAGTAGCTATCTATTTTACATTTGGTAGTGTATATATGTCCATGCCACTCTCTCACTTCGTCCCAGCCTTACCCTTCCGCCTCCCCGTGTCCTCAAGTCCACTCTCTATGTCTGTGTCTTTATTCTCGTCCTGCCCCTAGGTTCATCAGAAACTTTTTTTTTTTTTAGATTCCATATATATGTGTTAGCATACGGTATTTGTTTTTCTCTTTCTGATTTACTTCACTCTGTATGACAGACTCTAGTTCCATCCGCCTCACTGTTTTTAAAAGACTCGATTTAGGGTAAGTGTTCTAAGTTGTCCTTCTGTGAAATCTATGATGCTATTTGGAATGTGCTTCCTTCCACGAACCTGCACACCACCTTTCATAGATGCACATTCTCCCAGGGACTGAGAACATTCAGGTAGTTTCCATTAAGGTATTATTTTCAGAGTATTTTCAAATGATTAAATATTCATTGAATATTAGAGGTAAGGGGAACTTTCCTGATCAGCTTCCCCCATCTCTTCTGATAGATGAGAAACCTGAAGTCCCTTTTAATTCAATATATATGGATCGCTAACATTGTGCCAAGCACTGCACAACGATTATCCTCATTAAACCTTCTGAATAACTCATCATACCACTACCACCACGTTTAACAAATGGGGGGTGGGGTAGGAAATGAGGCTCGGAAATGCTAAAAAGCCACAAAACTTGCTCAAGGGCCCCAGGCTGGAGACCTGGGACTGATTCAAAGTGTATGTCCTTATCCTCCACCTTCCATCACCTGGACTGATGATGGTGCAAAAAGTGAAAGATAAATCTTTATTTAAAGGTGAGGTGATCAGTGGACACATTTGATGAGGTAGAAAAGTGGCATTTAGGCTAAGCCTTCACAAATATACAGCATTTCAGTAGGCATTCCAGTTTGGAATCAACATCAATATTGAGGCAGAAAAGTGAAAGGAAGGGTACAGGGTGAACTGGGAGAAAGAGGTGAGGATTGTGGAGGGTCCCGAGTGCCCAGCTAAGGAATTTAGACTTAAATTGTAGGCAACTGGAACCCACTGAAGGTTTTCAGAAGCAAGATGAGTTTTAAAAATGAGTTTTGAAAACATAGATCACACGGAAGTGTCGAGATTGAATTAGGGGAGCAGAGCTTGGTACAGAGATCAACTAGAAGCCCATCACACCTCCTTTGCCGGCTACTTCATTCTTTACCACGCGCTGTGCTTGCATCTGCTCCCCTGAGCGCTGGTTTCTTCGGGGCACCTCAATGTCCGTTTCACCGTTCTTGTATCCCAACCGACCGCTGCAATTGCCCTGTCTAGGGCAGATAACAGAGACTTGAACCCGGGCAGTGGGAATGGAGATGAAAAAACAGATTTGTGGAGCATTTGCAGCACCTGGTAACTGCTCAGAAGCGGAGAGAAGGTAAGAGAGAAGGAGAAGCAGAGGAGAAAAAGACTCTGACGTTTCAACTTAACAGGGGAACAAATAATGAGATACAGAAAGAAAGGGATGGTCAACAGTAGCACGGAGCGCTGAACAAGATGTTTTGGCCAAGGTCTCAATGCAACAGGCATTTATTAAGCAGCTACTCTGTGCTGGGCATTAGGGGAACAGTAATGAATTAGACTGGTCTTTGCCCTCAAGTATCACCCAGAGGGAGGAAAAGATGGCCTAGCAATAACCAGGTTCCTGGCCTCTTAGTCTCAGGACAAATGTCCCCTCTCACACAGGCCCTCCTAGAGGGTCATCTGTCTCAAGCACCCTCCCCCATCACATGATCCTGTTTTATTTCTTCATTGCTGGAACAGATCTCCAAAATTCATTTATAGGTACATTTATTGTCTGTTTCCCCCAGGAGAATGGAAGTCTCACAGAAGCAGGAACTTTATCTTGCTAGTTGCTAACTGCCACATAAACCCTCAGTAGGAAAAACTCATTGAATATGTTGGAGGGAAAAAAAAAAAGTGAATAAACGTCAAGGTTAAGACCTCGTGCCAAACTAGATGAGTTTCTCGATGCCTAAGGCGACATAGTGAACACTGAATTAACTCTGAAGGGTAAAGCCATTTTGATATTGGGGTCCAAACCGAAATCCAGGGGGCCCACCATGGATCAGAGCCCTGACTTGGCTGTTTTGCATAGATTTCAGGAATACCCACCCAGCGAGAGATATTTAACAATGAGGCCAGCCAGCCGCCTGGCTCAGGTTTTATTTCAGTTGTCCTTCTGACGTCAGAAGAAGCACGAGTTGCTGCACAGTTTCTTCTATCAAGGTGACAAATTACAGCCTTGTTGGGCCCAGCAGTCTGCAAACCATAGATTTATTCTCTCCTCCCCCTTATATTAAAAAATTTTAAACCCACGGCAGAGATGTCAGATTCCTTTCCAAATGCAAATAAATCCTGTTTCCTAGCTCTCGGGTCTTTTTTCACTCATGAAATACATCACCAGGGATTCGTATGCGGAAGTATGTGATCCTGGTGGCAGTTAGGTTTTCACCGCAGAACCAGTGCCGCAAACCAAAACCGGGTCCGCGCCGCAGAGTGAGACACAAAGGACTCTCAAAATTGTAGCACCACCTTCCTAAGCCGAAGGCAGCCTGTGAAAGGCACCCGAAACTCCGTGACGCGCTTACCGCGAAATTCCTTTTGCCGCCATATGCACTTGTACCTTCTCTGACTACAGTTCAGCCCAAACCCAGGGCCGGGCGATTCCGCAGGGAAGCGGCGCCCAGGCAGCCCTGTAACCTGGAGGTCCCAGTGGGTGCTGAGGAGCCCGATGCTCCGGAAGGCGGATTACGGTGCGGGGCGGGGACGCGCACCAGGGCGAAGGAACACCTTCCTCCGGGCACGGCCGCGGCGAGGTTAAAGGCCTTTTGTGGCAACGTTTAGGGAAGCAAGCGAGATGCGGGGGTGGAGGGAGGAGGTGGGAGTGCAGGCGAAGACTGTCCGCGCCCCGCGCAAGCGGTGGCCTTTTGTTCGCCAGCTGAAGCGGATCCCAGCTCTCAGAGTGGCACTTCTCTCTTTCTCTCCTTCTTCATTTGGGAAAGAACTTCTTTGGGGCGGGAAAGGGCAGTGAGTCACTGCCAGCATCCTTTAGCAATCACCCCCTCACCTCCACCCCACGACCCGCAGCCTCCCACTCCTATTCATACTGAGAGCGGGGCAGAGCTCGAGAAGGGCCGGCAAGCGTGCTCCCGTTTACTCGGGCTCCGCGCCTCCGCTCCCCGACCCGCGGCCAGTCCCCGAGACCCAGACGGCCGCACACACAGTCCCGAGGACATCACATGCCCTCCTCGGGGCCCTGCGGACACAGGAAATTCCCCGCAACTGCCCGGCATTCAAACACTCCTCGGGTATGCAGTCGCGCCCTCACCTCGGCCGGGCTCTCCAGACCCTCGTGGTCCCTAACCCCCGTGTGACTGAACCAGATCTGGTGCCACAATCTGCGCCTAAGAAAACAGACTCCAAAAGTAAGCCAGAGCCCATGCAAAGGTGAAATAAGGGGCCCCGGCACCTCCTTACACTGTCGTGGGCGGTCAGGAGAACAGGGGATCCGGACTTTTCCTAAAAGCAAAATCCGAACGCATCCGGCACAGCCGCGCACTCCTTCCTTTCTCGCCGCATGGATGACTTCTGCATTACCGCCTCCTCTCACATCTAAAACATCCCTTTCCTCCCCGCCGCCGCTCCCTCAGCTCTCCCCGGGAACGCGAAATCACCTTACCTCGGGCAATAAAGGAAAAGTAGCAAAAGGAGACGTCAAGGTATCCGCCCTTCCGGGATTTTCCCCCGGCCGTGCGATGTCCTTTGTGTCAAGGTCTGGCTGCCTCAGCGGAGGAAAGGTGGCCTCCGTCAGTGAGGTCTGGGCAGGGAGGCTCAGCGTGGCGTGACGGATTTCCGAGGAAGGTGAAGGGCGGCGACCTTCAGGCGGAGCGGCGTGGCTGCCCCAGCCCGCGCTCTCCTGTCTCTCCTCCTTTCGGGGCCGATTGCATCAGAATCTCCCCCCACCACCAACCCCCACCCACACGGTGCTCGCCAGCCTCGCACTTACATCCACATGCTCGGCCGCCGAGGGTCTCGAATCGCAGTCATTCTCCTATTGGGGGGCGCGTCGCCCCTGTGCATCCATGGCTCGTGACGGTTTAGCTGGGAAAGTCAGGCTATTCCTCCGCGTCCAGCGTGCCGTCGCCTCCCCTCCTGCACGCCCGCTCTTTAACCGAAGCTGCGTGTCACTCAGCGGTGCCCGTCACATGGTGCCTCTGCCGGCGGCCGCCCCTTGCTACCTCCTTGTCGCCGCCCGCCGAGGATGCAGCGACCGCGGCCGGCGGAGACTGAGCATCCGGGAAGAAGGGAGGAGTGAGGGAGGGGTTGCGGGGCGTGCGTGTGCGGGGCGCGCCGGCAGTGGCACCGGGAGCAGAGGCTGCGCGCAGCCTGGACACCTGCCCCACGCCCCCCTGGGGCCTGGCAGCGAGCCCAGAGCCCAGCTGCGGCGGCGGCTGGAGAGCCCTCGGGGACGGAGGAGGTGGGGGCGGCTTGGAGGGCGCGGAAGGAGGAGAGGAGGGCTGCGCCCTGCGGGACTGGGGGGGGCGCTTTTGGGGTCAGCGCCAAGGCCGGGCCGGGGCGCGGGAGCGAGGGGAGCTGCATTGTGGGAAGGGCGCCGCGTGAGGATGGCCGTGGGAGTGGCTGGTCGGCGCGCAGCCCCGCGAGCCGCTAGCGGCGCAGGAGCCGCGGGTATAGAGGGAGCGGCGTGTCGGCTCCCCCGGGAAGGCGCTGAAATGGCCGGGGTCGGCGGGGAGGGAGCCGAAGCGGCTGGGGCAGCGGGGAACGCTGCACCTCTGGAAACCCTTTGTCCGCAACCCGCAGTGGGAGGCACCTCCTGTCTGCCGGATCCAGCACCCGCAGACCTCGCCAGCCCTCCCCGAGATCTGTTCTGGGGCGCTCTGTTTGGGGGATTGGGTGGTTTTGCTGAACTGCGGGCGCACTCTGGCCCGGCGGGGAGACCCCACGTGATTCCGCTCCGGGCTCGGCGCGTCGGGGTTCAGGGAGCCCGGCGCTCCAAGTCGGGGGCCAGCGGGGAGCGAGGGCGCAGGATGGAGGGGCCTGGGACAGCTGGGCCCATTTCCCTTTCTTTTGCTCACTCTTTGTTCCAGGCACAGCCCCTTTGAACTGACTGGGCACTTCCTTGCAGGGGAGTGTGTTTCCTTAAAATGGCGACAGGAAATCCCACCTGCGCGTCAGCCAATTAGACTGTCAGCACAGCGCGAATTTGCGAGGTGGAAACTCGAGCCTTTTATTGACAGGAGCGGTTCCGTCTCCGTGTTCCATCAAAACAGGAAAGGGAAGGTGAATCATCTGTCAAAAATTAATCTACCTGGAGCATTTCAAGGGGGCAGACCGAGTAGCCTCTGTCACCGAGTGGCTATGGCTTTTTAGTCACCGCTGGAAAGGAGAGAATACAACCAAACTCCTCGTAACTGACTAAAATCCTCGTTCCGTCCAGTGGCAGAAAACGGTCTTCGTTGGTTCAAGAATGGCTATCAGAGAACTCTACTCTGAAGGCCAGCTCTTGAATAAACCTGAGAAACCGAAAGGCGGTGCAGACAGAAGGGAAGATAACGGGCAGCCTCGTTCAGACAGACCTGCCATCAAATTCTGCCTCAAACACTGCGTCCCTTGCCTGCTTAACTTTTGTCTTTAGTCATGTTTCCCGATTTGTAAAAAAGAGTGTTAGTAGGACCCATCTCATAGTAATATTCTACAGGTCACCAGAAAGTTGATTCTTCTCCCCCTTCCTTCCTAGAGGAAGCTAATTTAAGATGAAATTACTAATTATAAGTAGTGTGCACCTTGCCTGGCAGAGATAATTCTTATGACTAAGGTAGGAAATCTGAACAGGCAAAGTAGGTAGATTGTGAGCATAGCTCCATAAGCCAGTTGAAATGTTTACCTTTTTTATCATCATGTGTATTCACCAGTGTTTGGAGAGCATCTGATCGCAAGCTTATCTTTTGATTACAGCTTTAACTTATTTGCTAGTTTCTGTGCACCAAAGACTGCAGTTAAGTAGCGTTTTAAAAATTGGATTCAATAATGATGAGTTGGACTTCACTCCTTGCCAGTTACTGTGCTAACCGCTTTACATATAAATATTATTACATGTAATCCTTTCAACTGCTCAGTTCGGCATTATCCTGTTTGTATAAACAAGAAAGCAGGTTTGAAGAGGCTAAGTTGGCCACGTTCACTTAAGACAGTAAGTGGTGAAAGGGGACGTGAGGGAAGTGGTTCCCATTCAGGCCCGAATTCAAAGCCCACGCTCAGGCTTAACCATGATGCTACGACCATTTGCAAGTAGACACTCTTGGGCCTTGAGTGTGCAAAGATCTTCACCCCTCATCTGGCTTTTAGTTGACAACCTGGAACTGAAGTGTAGACGTCAACATGGAGGCTGAAGTGAAGAAGCTGCCGTGGGGAGGATTGCGGGGAAGGAGAGTGTGGGTGGTGTTCAAGACGAGTGCCTGGTCACTGCAGTGTGGCTTTTCCTCCAAAACTGCTGGTAGGTGAAACTTCCTTTCAGCGGTCCTTTCAGTAGCCCGGCACTTAAACCCAATTGCTGTGGTCTCAAATGGGGGAAAGGGGTGTCGTGATGATGACTCTGCTATTCACTGTGTGCTTCCCGAGAGACAAGCAACAGGATAAGCACATTACAGATGGTCTCTCGTTTAATCCTCACACCATTCCTAAGAGGTTGCAGACCATCCTAACGCCTGATTCAGAGGTTAAGAAATGTATTCCAAGTCCACCCAGCTCTAATTTGGCATATCTAGTCTTACATCCAGAGCTGACGCCAAAGCCAGTTTTCTGTGCCTGGCTCTAAAATGTTCCCCGATGCTGGAACAGCCACCTTCGGAGGACCAAGAGGTAGGACAAATCCCAGGCCCCTCTGCCTTCACATGGGGACCACTTCCCTATTGCCAGAGACCTCAGGAGTCAGTTTGCTCTGTAATAGGTTTCTGAGCCCCAAGAGCATTGTCATTCGTATCTAATGTTACTGTGGACCTTTGCAATTGAGTAGCTAGATTTCCCCAAAAGATATTCATGTAGTCAGGACACATTTAATGGGTTATACTGTGGGCTGCCCTATGGAACTGAGAAAAGAAAAATTCTGTATCTGAAAGGGAGGTGGGAGCAGGAAGCTCTAGTGTGAAAGGAGAACTGAATCACCTCAGGTCACCTGGGAGTTTTCTAGTAGCTCCATAGGCCCTTTCTGGATGGTTCCAGGAAGGAGGGGCAGCTTTGTGAAGAAAGATCAACCACTTCCCAAAGCAGATGCAGCCTGAACTTGAGCCACATCTGCTCTCATCCCAGCTTCACCCTGTACTCACCCGGTTGTGCCTCTTCTCCATCTGGGTCGCCCAATAGGACAGCTGTGCGCTTACAGAGAAAAGGTGCTTTCCTCCATGGGTTTTCAAAGCTGTCTAAATATATCTGGTCTAATACCAGTAGACTTCTTGTGCATGAATTTTGAAATAGGATCAAAACTACCTTCTGAATATGTATAGCTGTTTTCCTTTTTAACTGGTTATAGGACAGTCTGAATTTTGACAATGATGAAACATAGAAATGTCAATTGGTGCAGTTATTGCAGAATAAGTGTCCTGAGCACTTCCTATTTGTGACAGAAGTAGTACAGCCATCTGAAAAAAATCTTGCCTCATTAGAAACTAAGTTATTTATTTTGAAATCAGTCTTTTATTCCTATTTATAGGGTCTGCCCTAAAACAACAGATGGTCTTTAAAATTATTAGTGCTTCTTTTGACTGATGCAATCACATTTCTTTGCCTGATTAACCCTTTTTACCAGCTTTGATGTTCCTTGGATCTCATCCATAGGTGACAATATTTTGACAATAAGAGTTAGTTAAAGCAGCCACAGCAAAAAGTAAATTTGCAACGAAAAGAGTCCCCAGTTGTCTGGCCTATCCTTTTGCAGATACGTGATGCCATGTTTCCTACCCCCTTGGTAGTACTGTGACAGGGCCTGCTGTCACCTCTTCCAGCGTTGTGATGGACATTCTACCTCATCAGATTTGTAACTGGCTCTGGGGAGGTCAGCAACTCCCACTGATTCTAAACTGAATTTAAATTAAAATCCCAGAGCAGGCTTCTTACAAAAATGTCTATTGTTTCTGATTTCAGCCCAGGTCAGCTTTGTAGGGTCACAGTTAGGGAAGCAGGGACTAGGGTTTGTTAGGTATTGTGAGTATATGGCAATACAGTTTCATTCGTTTAAGCTCAACTAAAGAACCAGGGCCAGTGATCAGTCCCAGAAGTTTAATGTCTAATTTACCCGACATGTATGCATTGTTATGCAGGTCAACTTGAGTGGATCTCCCTAGCATGTTACCAAATGAGGTAATGAGACCCATCTGATGATCGAATGACTCTGTGTCTCCAGAGTATTCACCACAATGCTTGGCACATAATAAGTGCACAATAAATGGTATCTGTTACTGTTCTGCACACTTTGCAGAAATAAGCACAAGACAATGAATATTCAAAGCCCACGTTTATAGGCACAAAGTATTCTCTAATGCTCACTCCATACTGAAACAGCTGTCAAGCCCACACCTCTACTCCCATTCTTCCTACTACGGGACTAAGGAGACAAGGTATTTATTAGAGAATAGTTAATCCTTCAGGTTAACTCCAAACCTTACTGTTAAAGTGAGAAAGTGCAGTTTAGGCTCTACATAAGAAATGTATTAATTAAAAAGTAGAAGTGTTCCCAAATCGAATGTCACATCTATACATTTTAATGGTGCCAGTGTAAGTTAGCACAACTTTATGTGAGGTAGCAATTTAGTGATTAAGAATGTGGGCTCGGGGCTTCCCTGGTGGCGCAGTGGTTGAGAGTCCACCTGCCGATGCAGGGGACGCGGGTTCGTGTCCCGGTCCGGGAAGATCCCACATGCCACGGAGCGGCTGGGCCCGTGAGCCATGGACGCTGAGCCTGCGCGTCCAGAGCCTGTGCTCCGCAGCGGGAGAGGCCACAACAGTGAGAGGCCCCCGTACACAAAAAAAAAAAAAAAAAAAAAATTTGGGCTCTGAAGCCAAATTTTCTGAGTTCTAATTCTGGCTCCACAGCCTACTAGGCCTGTGGCCTTTGATGAGTTGCTTAACTTCTCTGTGCCTCAGTTTCCTCATCTTTAAAATGGAAATAAACAATAATACCTACCTTATACAGTTATATGAAATATGTTTGTTAATATGTGTAAACACTTGAAATAAGTCACAACTTATCTCAGGTATTTAATAAATAATAATACTAATTACCAGAAAATAATTTGACAATAAATAGGAAGAACTTAGATCCCATTGGTGTCACTTCTGGGAGTCTGCATCCTAAAAATAATGCACAGAGATGTTCACAAATAGCACAGAAGGTAAGGGCACAGGCTTTGGAATCAGGCAAGTAAAGGTAAAAAGCATGTTTGAAAGTATTCATTCAAAGCAAAG